TTCTGCTTGAAACCGGTCCCTGGTACAAAAAAGGTTGGGGACCACTGATTTACCTTATAAGTGGTAATAATATTAATAAAAAAAAAGTTCTGAGCTACCCTTATTTTGCTTCAAAGTTTTTATTTAGAAATTTAATTTTTTTTCCTGAAATTTCCCTCTTAAAATGAAGATGCGTGTTATACGCCTGTGCGTGTTATACGCCGATAAATACGGTATATTCCTTATTTATCTATTGTAGAATGAAGAGAAATATGATACAAATTTGAATCTAATGGTAAAGATACAAAGAATGTCACATATAATCAGATTCTAGTTCCTGAATTATTACTGACTTTAGAATAACACACAAGAAATATGGGTTTTTTTAGCACAAACATAGCGATACATGTTTTCAGTATTTTTATTTCTGTTCACTTTTCTTGTAGTTTGCTTAGAAAACAGTTGGCTTAAGGGAAGATCATCTGCAAAAAAATGTAAAACTGAAATGTCCAAAAGCTTCATGGCCACCTTTCTGCTGTTGCATTACAAACTTCTTGCAAGTTATGAAGATGCATTGATGGCATGTCAGCATGTCCTGTGAGCAGGGATTGGATGCCAAAGCAGGTGGATTGGGAAAGGAGAAAAAATCTGTTCCAAAATATACAAAGAAAGAAAAGTTGCATGAATGAATTGGGGAATTGGGGAAAAGGGAAGAATAATAGTTTGTTTGAGTTCATAAGCCAGATTGTGACAAGAGTTCTCCTCAGGAGGAAAAGAACCATTTACAGTGGAGGCCAAATTGGAGCACATCAGAGAAACTGCCAAATTTACTGCTGTTTATAAGAAACCAAAGAAGAATTAGAAATAAATTAACTCAGCTCCCAAACACAGATGAGGCTTATCAAATCTGGCTTTGATCCTGGAGCTATCCATGCTACTGGTGTGGAAACATCCACATAATCCCAAGGCATTTTCATTCGTCTTCTGTTCGAAAGGAAGGAATCCCTACTTTAGTTGAAGTTGTTTAGGGAACAGGAGCTGGTCAGCTAGTACAATGGTTAAAATTCAATATCATTGAAATACTTTCTCATAAGATAATGGATCCTCAATAGATCAAACATCAGGAGATCCTATAAAGAACAATTTCTTAATTATCATATATTTTGATTTATGAAAATAATGTCCTAAATGTTAATAAATCTCCTTTTCTCTCTAGGGACTTGGGTGACTTTTGGAGGTCAAGTTTCAGATGAGGTGAGTGATGTGTCATTTAATGACAACCTAGAAAACCAAACTTGAGTAATCTAGAAATAAATACATAACTTTAACATTTGCATTAAAATTGAAAGCCATGTCATGGAAGTCTGAATAAACTGAAACAGGATACGGCAAAGCATGATCATAATAACAAAAACCTCATTTCTCTTAATTGGATATATACTATTTCATCTATGGTAATAAAGCAGCCTAGTTCAAATTTGGCACACTTGGTCGCCAAAGACAGTAGCATGGAACTCATAGCAAGAATATGCTTTAAGGCTGAGCAGGTTTGATCTGGGTTTTGGTCAAATAAAAATCTAGAGGGATCTTACATGGCTAGTTGACAAGACTGGTATATCTCTCCCCTTGCTCCTTGTCTTCTTAATGGCCTACATACAGCCTTTCCATTATCTCCTCTTAACTCACATGTAAACTCACATGTTTGTGCTAGTAGTTTCCAGCTCTAGGGGGCAGTGCTCATCTCCATTACAAAGCCAAAGAGCCAGTGCTGTCCATCTCTGTGGTCATGTGTCCGGCACGACTAAATGCCGAAGGCGCACGGAACGCTGTTACCTTCCCACCAAAGTGGTCCCTATTTTTCTACTTACATTTTTACATGCTTTCGAACTGCTAGGTTGGCATAAGCTGGGACAAGTAACAGGAGCTCACTCCGTTACGCGGTGCTAGGGATTCGAACTGCTGACCTTTCTGATCGACAAGCTCAACATCTTAGCCACTGAGCCACCACGTCCTTTATTCCTCTTAACTACCATCCTTGAATTCAAGCACAGACTATCTGTCTCACTCCTCCCTGATCTTTTCAGAGTCTTCCTTTCCAGTGGTTTTGCCTGCTTTCCTGCTGCCCAGCTCTTGAAACCTGAATGCCATACCCAAGCTTAGACCAATATTGCTGGGTCATTTCCAGATAAAATGTAGTGTACATTTTTTTTGATCCAGACACGGGCCATCTAAAATTAGCTGTTCTGTGCATTGTACAGATCTCTGAAGCCATGATATCAAAGCTATTAAGAGAATGAAATGTGAATTAGGGAATCCTGACTCTCAACCATGACTGTTCTTAGATTCATGATTGATCACTATCACATAATAGAACACATTGGTTTCCTACTTCTGATGACCCCTATAATTTATATCAATAGTGCTTTAAGTTATAATGTTATACCCATTTATAGTATGTTGGTTAAATCAACTCACATTGATTTTAATGATTTCTATCATGCTAATGAACATATTATAGCATACATTTTCACGATTGAAAAGTTCTGTGTATCATAAGAAAGCTGATTTGATAAACAGTTAATTGTTAACTATTACTATTACTATTTATTGCAATGTACACTGGATATCACATAAAGCCTAAGTGCTGAAGATGATTGCAAGAAGTTTCAAGCTTGAGTTAGGAAACTAATGTACTTAACTACTTGGAATTGGTGTGAACAAAGATCCCAGTTTCAAAAATGTGAGTATTGGTAAGAAATAGTGGCTATCTACTTTCCTGCATCCTAAATTCAGTCCATCGTCCATGATTTAAAAATTAAGCTAGATTTGGCATTAAGCTCTGAAACTATTTTATAATGAGTCATTCCTGCAAAATTTGCAAGATTGGGGACAGAGAGTTTTTATATTTCTAAGATTAATTTAATGTCTCTATTTCCCAAAGGTGGCTGAACATCTAATGACCATTGCATATGAAAGTGGTGTGAATCTCTTTGACACAGCAGAGGTATATGCGGCTGGAAAGTATGTATCTATGCTTCTTTTCTTCCATTTGTTTTATTTATTTTTATTTATTTGTTTGTTTGCCAAACATGTAGAAGATAACAAGTATAAGTATGAACATAAACAAGAACAAGGGAAGTAAATATAGATAAATGGGGACAGTACAACAGGGACGGTAGGCATGCTGGTGCGCTTATGCACACCCCCTTTAAGGACCTCTTAGGAATGGGGTGAGGTCCATGGTAGACAGTTTGAGATGGAAGCTGTGAGGGTTTGAGGCTGTAACAACGGAGTCAGGTAGAACATTCTAGGTGTTGGCCACTCTGTTGCTGAAGTCATATTTTCTGCAATCGAGTTTGCAACGTGGTTTACCTTGAGTTTGTATCGGTTGTTTGCCCATGTATTATTGTAATTGAAGCTGAAGAAGTCATTGATGGGCAAGGTGTTATAGCAGACAATTTTGTGAACTATGCTTAGATCGGACCACAGGCCACAGTTCCAGATTGTCGAAACCCAAAATTTCAAGCCTAGAGGCATAGGGAATACTATTGTGAGTAGAGGAGTGGAGAACTCCTCTCGAGAAATACCTCTGAACCTGCTCAATCATGTTAATATTTGATGTACATTAAAATGAAACAGCATTTTAATATACATTAAAATGAAACAGCATTTTAA